TACCTTCATCGCATCTGCAAATCCATTTTTTCCATATACAGTAATACAGTCACAAGTTCCAGCCGTAGGATGTGGTCACCTCTGGTACCATCACACTGCCTATTCAAAGCTCCATTAATGGATGGGACATGTGTTATGCTTGCCATCCCATCAAGGAAGCCTGCAGGAGGCTCAAAACAGGCATGCTGGCAGTAAGAATATATTGCAGTTAATGGCCTGACAGTCTGAGAAAAACTAAGAAACAAACAAAAACTAAAATAAAAATTTAAAAACAGTCATTCCAGAAAGTACAGTAATTTAGAACGATTGTAAGAAGAAAGAAGTCACGACAACATCACTGCGGTGCTTTCCAAGTTGTCCCTTTATTTGATGAACCTGAATCACCAAAGAAAAGGGCAGCTTAATGCTTCACCCACAGCTTAAAAGATCATGAAAGTTTGGGGGCCATATACTAGAAAGGTTGTTCCACATAAAGCAGTAAGCTCTGCGTTTCTGACCTCTTCAAGAACAATGACGAGGGAGGTTTTAGTACTGCTGTACAGAATTCTCAGGGCTTGTAACTTGATTTCCCCTCCACCCTAATGTTTAACTATGCTAGAATGAATTGTTTAACTTTACAAAAGGAGAGTATCCCTTAAGGGTAACAAAGTATGTGCAAAATTAAATTACAATGTGAGTTTATTTATAATGGCTACGAAAGTACTTCAAGAAATACAGATTTTTTTTCAAGGATATTTGAGTATTACTGAATTAGCATAAATTTAATTTTAGCCTTGACCAAGTAGATTCCTATCAAATGAGCAAAACTGTATTTTTACAGATATTTGTTCCTCACTGAAATAAAAAGAAGTGATGCTGGGCCGGGGATTTAGCTCGGTGGTTCTGCCACCAGCCTCACAAGCACAAGGAGCTCAGTTCAATCCCTGGTACCAAAAAAAAAAAAAAAAAAGTGATGCTATCCAGGTGAAATTATTTTATAATTGTATAACAGTTTGTGTTAGTGTATTTTAAGAAACTATCAAAGCACTTATACCAAAAATATGATCATCTGAAAAAGGTAGGATATTCAGCTGTGCATGGAATATGGAACACACTGGTCTCCATATGCTTGGTATTTGCAAAATTATTAAAATTCTAGAGATAATGCCATTAAAGTGCTCACAAATGATATAACAGATTTTTGTGAGTTCTGGAACAGTATGGGGTAGGGAAAAGAACGGGAATTACTGTTGGGCAGACTTGAGTTTATTTCTTGATTTTACCATCTCTCTCTGTAACTCAATTTCTTCATCTTTAAAATTAGGATCTGTGAAAGTTAAATTTTGTTTATTAGGTGCTTAATATGTTGCAAATATTCAAAAATTTTAGCTTCATTCCTTGGAATGTTTAAAACAAACAAATAAAAACCATTGTAGTATCTGCATTGTGGCATCTGCATCTAGTATCCTGATGAACTACGTGCATGTCTGTTGAAGGCCAGACCCTCTATGCTGAGCTCAGTTTCACTCTTCCTTGTCTACTCAGAGTCTTTGCTTCTGCAGTTCCCTGTTTTCTGACCTGTGCCACCAGTTGCTCCCTCCTGTGCGATCATCTCCAGAGGCGTACAAACATCTTGGCAGTTCTACCGTGTTACAAATAAAAATCGCTTCATCTCCACTTCCTGGGCAGCTGCCATCCCAGTTTGCTTTTATTTATGTTTGTTTGCATACTCTTCTTTGAAGGAGGCCCCTTCAAAAAAAGGTTATCCATGCTCACTGTTTCTGGTTGTTTTTTGCCTTATACTTTCTTAAATTCATTTCAGACTGGCTTTTCTCCATATTGCTTTGATAGAAATGATCTGAAATACACGGTAGGCCTTTGGCACTAGTTTTGCTCTCTCTCTCTGCGATATTTCTCCCACAGGTCTCTGTATGGATGCCTTTGAAGCTCCATCCAATATTTGGTAAAATTTTTTCAATGAGGCACCTGCCAGTCAACTTGAAATGAAACATTTCAAGCCATTTCGACACATACTTCAGTCTCAAGAAGGAAGGGAGGAAAAGCCTGCTCTGTAGCCTTTTCTTTAGACTCAGGGATGCATGGGGATTTGATCCTCCGTATAATCCTCCTTGCAACAAAAATGCAAGAAATGTCTACAGGCATACTTAATGCAGTAGTATCCTGCTGAAATTACTAGGTAAGAGAGCAAGCACCTATATGTGCTTTGGCACTGGCTGAGGAGAGCTGCTTGGGAAAAGGGATGGAAGCTCATTAAATACCTGAGAAGGACTACTTCACTAGCAAGATAGAAGCTGAAGGAGTGGGTTTGCATACTCAATCCAGTGTCACCTGTCATTGCCACACATGTCCGATGTGTGCAGTGATTCGAGGACTTTAGAGAGAGCCAGGAAGTCATGGGAGATCTGTCTTTTGGCACTGTACCTCTTCTTTTGGTGCCTGTCCTGAGTCATTGGTTAAAGCTCATTATAGGCATGCCAGGGAAATAGTGCACGTTCAGTTCCAGACCACCACAATAAAATAAATATGGCAATAAAGTGAGTCACACAAACATTTTGGTTTCCCAGTGCATATAAAAGTTGTTTGCATCATACTTCCATCTGAAAAGTGCTCAATAGCATCTTGTCTAAGAAGCAGTGTACATACTTCATGAAAAATAGATTATTACTAAAAAATGCCAGGGATCCTCTGAGCTATTGAAAAATGGCACCGATAGTCTTGGTCAATGCAGGGTTCCCACAAAGCTTCAGCCTGTAAAAACTCTAGGATCTGTGAAGTGAAATGAAGCAGAGCACAGTAAAAGCAGGTATGCCACTGGGTCCTGGTTGACGTTTTTGGTATCTGGTGAGGTGACTGTCAGTGTGAACCTCATAGATCAGAGTAGGCGTTGTCATTCCAACTCCCTTTACCTGGCTCTAATTTTTCTTTTGACATATTGTATAACCCAGTTACGTGGATCATCTTCTGTCAGTAAGACAGAGCTTTAGGTCTGAGATTTCTGTCTTTTTGTTCATTATATATCCCTAGCATTAGGACAATGGCTGGCCTACATTAGTGCTCAATAAATATTTGGTGAATGAATGAGTGAACAACTGTTAAAAAAATACTCATTCAGTGCAAGCCATAAGTAACACGTTCTAGCTCCTAGAATATTCCCTAGCTCCTAGAATATGAATATTATTCTTAGTGAGATTAGCCAGGTTGAGCCTCCTTAGGGCAGCTTCGCAAATCATATCAGGAAAGAGGGCCTTGGAGAAATACATTGAAAGGGAGTTGCATCTTAGCAAGGCCAATATAAAAAAGAAAGCTTAGGATTATATAAATATCTACACATGTGAAGGCTGTGTTATTAGGGGAAATTTATATGCTATGGTTTCCTTAAAAGAGAAACTCCCCAACAAATCATGTACACAAATTGATCTTCATGGCGATTTGAGGGAAGTGGTAATATGAGGAATGTGACCCCACAATACTCAAAGTACCCTTATATAAAACTAAACATGATTCCTGCTTAAAAAAAAAAAAAGATTACAATGGTAAAGGAATAAAAGGTGTTTAGTTTTGTTTACAAGTCACTATATCTACATAGATAGTATCATACTGTTAGAAATTTTAGCAAGTGATAATTATCCATTTGATCCAGTATAATATCTAGTTAGTGCACAGATATTAACTGAAAATAATAATTCAGTTCCTTTTAACATATGGCTAGCTATGTAAGATTTTTAGCTGCGTACATCTGGGCTTTTGTGTAATTTTAAAATGCTATAGCTCATAAAAGAAATTGCACATATTTTAAAATATTTTCACATCTCCATATCGCCATTGATTGTGCTATTTATCTTTCCTGGCATGGTCATCTTTTATTGACACTTGGAGACTTCCAAATCCAGCCAGAGACACATTTTCTCTGCCTATTCTTAGTGCTGCTTTCCTGCCACAGGCTCTCCCCTCAGGGTTAATTGATTAATTGCTTTCTTCTCTATGTTCCCAAAACATCTATCATAGGGTGTGGGTGTTATTTATTTCCCTGCCTCTGAGTTTCAAGGGCATCTTCATCATTTTAGTTTCCCTAGTGACCAGCAGAGTCTCTGTCTTGTGAAACATGTTCATGTTGTGAAACATTGAATTAGAGCATGAAAATACATTTCTGTTTAGCCACTGGTTCACCCAGCACCTATTTATTAAGGGTTTTAAAAAAAAATATGCAAAGCATGATGTTATGTTATAAAGATAACTGAAAAAAGAAATCACATGCCCAAGTTTATAAAATTCTACTGTATAGTATAATATGGAAAAATAAGTCATGCATAAAATAACTGTAATACATGGTAGAAAGTGTTATTTTTCACATAGGGTTGTGTGCCTGTATGCGTGTATGTGTGTGTGTTTACTTTCTGCTGTGGTTTAAAAATATCTTCCTGCTGGCTGAGGAAATATATTTCTTCATTAAATGGCTAAAAAAACATTCAACACAATTCTTTTGTTGTCTCAGAAATTAGGCTAAATTTTGTCTTAGATCTAAAAATACATCTCCCTCACTTTAACTCAGTGAGTTGTTGTAAATGATTGAATTAAAGCACTGTTCAGGGGTTATGCTGCTACTTGCCAAATATTCTACATTTAAAATAGTAGGAGAAAGTTCCTTTTGATGCCTAAAGGTTTGAATTTTATGCATTCCCTAGTTTTTTTTTAAGTCACTCTAAGTGATAAATCCTTCACATGTTGCTACAAGTTTATTCCTAATTGCCTTAGGAAATTGGGTGTAGAAAATGTTTGACAAAAGTTAATAATGTCATTGAAAGAATAATTCCAACAAGCTTTTAACTGAGACTTAATTTTTTAAGTTTGGTGAGAACAGTTTGAATGCTTAGTATTGAATGCCTTTTGTTTTTTAATATGGTAGATTGACTTTTTCCACATCAAGGCTTAAGTTGTTAATAGTTTGTGTGATTACAGATTTTAACTGATGGGCACCAAGAAATTTTTCTGTTTTTGTTTAGACTTGGATTATCACTTGTATTTATCTTCAGCTGCTCCTATTTAATCCTCTTGTCAAAACTAAAGAGATCTGCGGGAATCCTGTGACTGATAATGTAAAAGACATCACAAAATTGGTAAGTATGAATGCTCTTCAGTAGCTAAGACTCTCTTATGCTAGTTAATGAAAGATTTAGGATTTCCTTGTCCTGGATTCATATTTTTCTAAGGTGAAGAAAGGGATCGCTGAGTTATTCTGAAGAATCTCTAGAGATCAGAGAGGGAGATATTCAAGGTGTGAGAAGATATATTGGTAAAACCGGCTCCTTGGACACCATGACACTGACACTTCCCTAGCTGGCCTTTCCCTCACGGTCACACGCGGTGTGCTGATGAACTGGCACCAGCTTGTTCCGCGTTACCATGTGAGTGGGTTCCTCAGGATGTCTGTGTACCCTTCACATGCCTTCCTGCTCTTCTCCACCAAGCTTAACAACAGGACACCTGCTGTTCCCCTGTCTCCATCAGCGTAGACTCTGGCATGAGATGGGTGGGTAGTTGCTCGCTCTGTTAATATATTTGGAGGAGGGACTTTCCTGGCTAAGTGTGGGACAGACTCACGTCCTATATTCACCACGTTGGACCTCTTCCCTCACCAGAGGGCGTTTGCACCGCTGCCCTCTCACTGCCAACCCCTTGCCTGCCTTCCCTTGATGCTTCTTTTAAGATTCAAACCAGAGAGAGCAGAAGGTACCAGGGATGCATTCTCCATCTCTCATGATGGAGGGCAGATTTTTCATACGTATTTGGACTACTACGTATGATTTCAAGAGGAACACTGTTGGAGTAGCATTTTTGTAAGTTCTTGGCTCAAAATAGCCAGTTAAGTGGCCCTTTGCTATTTGAATATTGACTAGAAAACCCTAGAGATGCGGATGGAGAAAAGAAAAAAGTGTCCTTGTTGAGATGTTAGAATATGGAGTAGAAAGGCCTCTGTTTTCCTTCCTTACTTTTGATATATATTTTTTTGGTTTACATGTTTTATTATATGTTCATAGCAGAATTTAAAAATGAAGGTTTACTTTTACAGTTGAAGTCTGACTGGCTCAGTGTAGAATTAACAAAATACACGTACACACCTTCACACACACACACACCCACAAATTTGTGCAAAGTTTTTGAGACACTCAGTCCATGTTTAAAACCCTTATTTGCCTAGTGAGACTGATCACTAACATTGCAAAAATCAATTCTTTGATGCAGCAGCTAAATGTAGTCACATGTTTTACTTGAAGGACTGGTAAGCAAATCAGTATAATGTTTGCTTACTGTATACCCATCCAAGTATTGAGTTTAGGGATGGAGGTAAGGAGGAAATATTTTTTTGCAAACATAGATCATGGACCTTTTCCTCGTTTCTTGTTCGTTCATGATCCAAAGAATGTATGTTCATATTCTGAGTTGTGAGTTTCTGAATAGAAAGGTTCATTGAATGTTTTTCAAGTGAAAATAGCAAAGATGAGCTCCACTTTGACCATTAGAGTCACTCATGGTGCCCATTAAAATTTACAAGTACCTCAATCTTGCTCCAATAAACTGATTCAAAATATCTGAGAAACGGTTGGAGGTGTCTGCATTTTTCATGACTTTCTGAAAGTGTTTAAGAACTATTGAAGACTGTCTATTCTGCTAAAGTTTAAAGACCAAAACATTTCTTGGCCTTAATTTAATCTGAATTCTTATTGTGGACTAGCTACATCTATATTGTATACCTTTATTAGGATGTCAGGTTACTGCCAAGATCTGAAGTGTGCTTAAAGTAAGTCACCGGGGAGTGACACCTCTCGTGGAAGTGCTTGTATGACAGTGGGAGCTGAGGATGAGCTGGAGGAACTTGCAGTGGCCCTGGGGAGCAAATTTCAAATAGGTGGCAGTGAAGCACAGTTGGAAAATAATGGGGCATCTGACCACAGACTGAGCATATCCGAGATTCACTTGATATTTAAGAAAAATTGTTGTGAGGCTGAGGCAGGAGAATTTCAAGTTTGGGGCTGACCTGGGCTACTCAGCAAATCTCAAGGGGAAAAAAAAGGAAAGAAAGAATGAAAAATAGCTTGTTGGCATTATTATTTTGGAAGTGTTTAAAGAATATGACTTAATAAGTGCCACTTCCTGTGAAATGTCAAGCTGATATTTTTAAGTGGCATAAATATGTATTATAAGCACCTTGCAAGATTTTCTATTCTTGTCTTTAATCATCTGCTTATTATGAGCCAGTCACCTATCAGTTAATACAATAAGAAAAGGCAAGATACTTTAATAAGATAAGAAAGAAATGTCCAGAAAAGGATATTTATTAATATTCCCGATAAAATATGCTTTCTCACTCCAAGGGCAAATGTCACATCGCCAAACTGGGGAAAAAAGCTCTTTCTTCCTTCTAGCAGTTGACTCTGGGGAATAAATTAAGTTCAAGAATTGCTCTAGTGAAATTATTGTGTTTTCTTTGGATAATTTTTTAAAGAACATGATGGAAAACAAGTCAAGTTAATAAAAAGTAGGACTCAGAAGATCACTTCTAATTGAATAAAAAGCTACGTAATTCAAATCTGTATTTTATAGAGAAGGAAAAAGAAAACTATAAAGCAATCCCTGAGCTCAGGACAATAATAATCTAGTGTGGGAGAGAAGCTAAGTAAAAATACACACCCATATCACTAATACCACAGTAACAACACAAACAGATACCATTAAAAAGATTTTACAGTATAACATAGGGCCCAATTAGTGCCAGCATGTACACTGGTTAAAAAATAAATTTTGGCTTTCTTTGCCTACTTACCAATTTTGTAGTGCAGAATACATAAAAGAAAAAAATATATATACATATATATATTATATATAATTTTACCAGTTACTATCACGTAATCTTTTTGTGCCTGTTTTCTCATCAATTATAACAGAGAGATTAATCATACTTAATCTTACAGAGTGATTGTGAGAATTAAACACTTTCATAGAACAGAGCCTGAAACACAGTAAGTGCCTGTGGAATCTTAGCTGTTCATGGTGGTGGTAGTAGTGGTTTCCTTAGGATACCGGAGCTGGAAGGAAATTTAGAAACAATCAAAACAAAATATTTTAAAAATAAACGAGAAAACAAACCCAGGAGTGGGTTTTATACTCAGCTGCTGGTCACGTTACCCATGTGATCACATTACCAGGGGCATATCTTCAGAAAGAATGATTTTCCAGGAAGGTCCCAAAGCCCACCACGACCGTCCACTTTTGTTTATATAGTGGGCTTTGCAAATAAAACTTGCCTTGAGAAATGATCCGTGCTTATGAAAGAATGCTTGGAAGCCACTGCTTGGGCTAGAAATTGGTCATAGATCACTGAGAACCATCCAGTGCCAGTTTCTTAAGACCACAAATTCAAGGTACAGATGTAAGGTTATCACTGTAGAAGTACTGAATCTCACACTTGTGGAAATATGGTGTAGGAACCTTAATGTTTTCCACTAATATCCCACAAAATTATAATTTGTGTACAAGTTCCAAGACAGATTAGGCCATAATACTTAGAGGATTGTTGGTTGTTTTTGTTTTTAGTTTTCATGTTTGAAAGGAAGTCAGGTGTTTCTATCCTAATGCATTAATATTGCTAATGCAAACAACATGCATGGCGGCTGAGTTTTATGGATATACATAAGCATAGAATTTTGCTAAAGAATGATGAGGCCAGGAATCTTGATGGAAATCGAGAATACCTTGTTACTTGAATACCAGTTGTACTATTATTTCCTGGCTGGGTGACCTTAGACAAATTACTGAGCCTTTCTGGAATTCAACTTCCTGATTTTTAAAATGACAAACATGACATGATCAACAGTTCTTAAACCAGGACTCATACACTTCAAACACTTGCACATGTAACTCAATTTTGCCTTTCTACCCGTTATGTCCATTTCTGAGGAGAAAGTATATAGCTTTCGTCATTTTTCAGAGAGGTCTGGGGCCCCAAAGAAGATTACTATAAAATCAGAGAATTTTGGAAGTACTTCTCAGCTGTCAGTTATTCTATTCCATAATATTATTTCTTCAGCTTGCACCTCTTGAACTCTTCAGTAATACCTTGACTAAGGGTTGTACAGCATAAGAGGAATTTGTTCAGCAGGCATAGCCTTGGTGCATTTTATTTGACAGGAAGAAAATGAGCTAACAAAGTGATTTTCTTTTTTTTTCCCTTGTGCTCACAGTAATTTCATCAGTTGAGATCACTCCTTTGCATTCTCTACCAGTTCTGCCCTTGAATTAGGTGGCAAATTGCACTGTGCCCACAAACCTTAAGCTTGTTTGCTTGGAGTGATTCTCATGTCACAGAAGCACATGATTTATGGCTTTACATTATTATTTTTTAAATTTCTTCTTGGACACTTTGTCCTCCCCTTGCTATCCCCATGGTTTTTATTTGAAATCCTCTGGCATGTTTACTTAGCATAATAGTTCATTTATTTACAGAACATTTTGCTTTGTTTCTAAAAAATGTTGCAAGACTTGTTTTAAATGGCAAACTCAGACCTACCTAAGGAAAGAGTCAAGTGTCTGAGAAGAGAATGAATCAAACTTTAAAAACTTGTATCTTATGGGTAGGTTACAGCTTTTAATACTTGTCAATGTTCATGTAAATGAAGAATCCAAATATTGAAATAGTTGAAATTTATTTTCCCCTTTTGTTCTCTCTAATCTTCATTTGTAATGTTTTCTCTACATTTGGGTTTCTACATTTGGGGGAATTTAATGTGACTTTCTTGCTTTTTAAAAAATATTTTTTATCTGTTTAGTAATGATTTATTCTTTTCAAAATGTTTTTGAAGGTAGGTTGCCCTCCCATCCCTTGAAATTACACTTTTCAAGGTCAGTCCACAAATCAGTAGGATAGAATTGAAACAAAGGAGTTCATGGTTTTCCTGGTCTTGTGGTAGGCACTTATTTGAAGTTGGTTACATTAATACACAACCCTAATACATTAATACTTAAGATTAATATAATGAGAGGTGGTAAATATATTCTCAGATAACAGATTTTCACACTTTAAGCAGTTTTGATTAATTCTTATTTTTATTCTCCTTCAAAT